TTAACACTATTATTTGTTATTTCATTGACATCTGGTTGTCCAGGTGAACCAGGTGGTTCTGTTTACAATAGAGAAAAAAAACAAGCAAGATTAATGATACAACAATCAAGGGTTATTATTTCAACATACTAAATGGAAGTTGAGCAATTATTGATGAGGATGAACGTAATGGTTCACTTGTACCATTTTCATTCATAGCCATAACACGAAAATCATATTCATGTCCATCAAGTAATGATGGAATAGTAAATGTTGTATCTTTACAATTTTGTGTAACAGGTATCCAAGCATCTGATCCTTTTGATGTATCACGTTTTTCAACAATATAACCAGTTATTTTACTACCACCATCATCTTTTGGTGGTTTCCAAGAAACTGTTGCATGATCTTTCGATATATTTGATATTTCAAGTGGGCCTGTTGGAGAAACTGGTGGAGCTATTTTCAGAAAGAAAAAAATATCGATTTTGAATGTTTTAGATTTTCATGAGTTTATTTTACCAACGACTTTAACTTTTAATGGTACATTGCATGAACCGGAATCATTTGCAATATTAAGTGAATATTTTCCACCATCATTTCGTTCAATATCTGAAAAAAGAAGATTTTCGAAATAATTGAATGTTAAGAGAAAGAAAAATACTAACCAGGAATTGTAACAGCAATATAATCATCATATTCTTGAATACGTACTCGATCATCGTCAATTAATGATTGATCATCTTTTTTTAATTTAAATGTAAATGGACCTTTACCATTTATTGGAATTTTAACTTTTAATGTATCACCCAATGAAACTCGTTGTTCATCTGGTTCACGAGGAATTTTCGGTGGTGCTAAAGTAATAATAATAATAACTTAAAAATAGGATGAATGTTTTAGTACTTACTTTTAACATGAAAATTTGCTTCACAACTATCTTTACCAAGTGGATTAATAATTTCACATGAAATCTTCGAATTATTATCACTTTCCCATGTTTCAGTAAATGTTAATATCGATTTAGATTCATCAGCATTTGTAGTAATACGACAACGACCACCAGTTATTAATTCTAATCCATTACGAAACCATTTTACTTCTGGTATTGGATTACTATCATATTCAATTGTAAATATAGCTTCACTATTCATAGATGCATTTGTATCAGTTATTTTTTTAACAAATGTAGGTACTCGTCCATCTAAATATTTGATTTAGAGAAAAAAATGCGTTTTTATTACACATATTATATTACTTGGATATTCAGTTATTTTAACTCGACCAGTTGTTGAACTTGGTTCACTTTCACCAGCTTTATTAACTGCTTTAACACGAAATTCAACTTCGCCATTTTCTGGCAAATCAGTTATTGTAGCATTATTATCAACTGACATATAAGGTAAGGCTTTAACCCATTGATCACTTCCAATAGGTTTTTTTTCAATAATATAACCCGTAATTTTTGCACCACCATCATCTGTTGGTGATGTCCAAGCTAATTCTATATGATTTTTACCAACTTTTTTTACTTCCGGCATACCGGGTGATGAAGGTGCAACTAGAAAAACGAACATATTTTTTGTTTGAAATAAATTTTGTACATACCACTATCAGGTTTAAGTGTAACTGGTCGATCGAGTTTAGTATATTCTCCCCAACCAGCAGCATTTTTTGCTTTAACACGAAATTCATATGGTTTTCCTGTTTGAAGATTATCAACTGTAAAATCATTTCCTTTAATTGGAAAATCATTTGCCATTTCCCATATATCACTATCGGGTTTACGTATTTCAACTTGATAAGCAATTACTTTTGAGCCACCATCATTTTTTGGTTTATTCCATTTTAATGTAACTGAATTTTCGGTTTGTTTACCAATTTCAATATTCGATGGACCTTGTGGTGCATCTAAAATATTAATCGAAATATTTTGTATAGATTAAATTAATTTCAATAATAATTTACTATAGGGATTTTTTGCAATAATTGATTTTTCACATTCCAGTGGTATACTTTGCCCATAAAGATTTTCAGCTGAAACACGAAATTTATATTCTGAACCTTCTTTAAGTCCAGTTACTTCATAGAAGGGTACACGACAAAAACTTGATACTTTTTGCCATTCACCTTTTTTCGTATCAAATTTTTCAATTATATAACTACTTATGGGTGAACCACCATCATTTTTTGGTGGTTTCCATGTTAATACACATGAATCTGGTTTTATATCATTAATTTCTAATGGACCTTCGGGTGTATCTAGGAAATTTCGAAATTTAATTTTTCTTATATTTTGAAAAAATAAAATCAAACCTGGTTTATCAACAACAATAACTTTCATTTGTACGGTATCTTGTCCAAGATGATTTTTTAAAGTACATGAATATAATCCACTACTGCCACCTTTAACTTTTGGTATAATAAGTTCAGCAATACCATCTTTAATTGTTATTTGTGTATTATCATCTGCTTTTATCTCTTCACCATCTTTTGCAAATATAACTTGTGGTGCAGGTGAACCAATAAATGGAACTGGAATTCTTAGATCTTCACCTGCATGAACAATGATTTCTTTTGGACTAAATGCACTAAAACCAACAGCATGTGGAGCAACATCAGGTGGACGAGCTTGAATAGAACCATCGGTTTGAGCTGAAATACAAAAGAAGAAATTTGTTGAAGAAAATGAAATCAAATGACTTCTTTTATACCATAATCTCCTGGACCAGCTTTATTCGTAGCAGCAATACGAAATTCATATTCTTTACCATTAGTAAGACCTGGAACTGTGTATTCAATACCTGAAATTGGTTCTCGATTAACACTAAATTATAAAAATTTTCACTTCATTCTCAAAACAAAATAAATTCTTTCTTACGGAATCCATCTGTTAGTTCCTTTTTCTTTCTTTTCAATCATATAACCTCGTACAGGATTTCCTCCATCATTCTCTGGTTTTGTCCATTGTAATGTAATTGAATCACTTGTATGTGCAATACATTCAGGTTTACCAGGCGCTTCAGGTGGTTTAAATGGCCACTTAGCTTTAATTGCTGCATCAATAATTAAAGGTTCCGAGAGACCATTCTCATTTTCTGCACTAACACGAAATTCATAATTTTTTCCTTCATCTAAACCTTTAACATCATATGTTGTGCCTGATACAGGTGGACCGACTTTTATCCATTTATCTGTTCCAGGTTCACGTCGTTCAACAATATAATGTTTTATATCACTACCACCATCATTTTTCTATAAGAAGAAATTTAATAAATGAATTATTTTCTTAGTTATATATTTTTACCGATGGTTTCCAGCTTAATGTACATCCTTCAGCAGTTATATTTGTTGCTTCTAATGGACCTTCTGGTTTTGTTGGTGGAGATAGAACAGTCACACGAAATTGAATTTGATTTGTACCTTCACTATTTTTTAATACTAATTTATAAAAACCAGCATCATTTCGTTCAGCTTTACGATTAAGTAATGTAATTACATTATCTAATGTCTAAAAAATATAAAAATTCTATTTATAATAAGATTTATGTTTGATTTTTTTACTTTAATATCAACACGATCATCAGCAACGAGATCTTTATCATCAATAAACCATTGTGCTTGTGCTTTTGGTATAGCTTTATAAGGAATATGCACTTCGAAATCTTTACCAGCTTTAATTGTTATATCTTTAATACCATGTAAATCAAGAAATGATGGTTTTTCTAAGTGAATTAAGAGCATAGTATTTAATTTAAAAAAAACTATGATTGTATACCTGGTTGATCTTCAATAGTAATTGTATCTGTTGATCGACTTGGTTCACTTGGACCAACACCATTAATAGCACGAATACGAAATGATACTTTACTACCTTCATTTAAATTAGGTATTGTATATGAAGAATCACGAACTAGTAATTCAATGACTTCACTCCAGTCTTGACTAGATAAAAAATATATATATTTTTATAATAAATTTCTTGAAATATATTTTCTCTAAACAAACCTATCTGCTGTTCGTTTTTCAATGATATAACCAGTAATTTTACTTCCACCATCATTGAATGGTTTTTTCCATGAAAGTGTAACTGAATCTTTGGTAATTTTATCAACTTTAGGTTGATCAGGTGCATCAGCTGGAAATATAGGTACTTCAGCTTTTTGTGCTTTTGTAGATTTTGATGGTATTCCTGCTCCAGCATCATTTACAGCAGCTACTCGAAATTCATATGTTTGACCTTCACGTAAACCCGATGCAGTATATTGTGTTGCTTTAGTTGGAACAATATTACATGATTTCCAATTTTTACCACCCTTTTCACGCATTTCAATATTATAACCAGTTATTGGATTTCCACCATCATTTTTCGGTCTATCCCATTTAAGTTTTATATATGTTGAATTATATTCTGTAATTTCAGGTGTATCAGGCGCATCTGGTGGATCTAGTAGAAAATATAAAAGTATTAAAAAAAACAATCGAATGCTCAATTTATTTTACCATAAGGTGGTTTAACAATTATTGTTGATGTTGTTTCTAATGGTTCACTGATGCCATAGATATTTTCAGCTTTAACTCGAAATTTATATTTTTTATTTGTTTCTAAATCTTTAACAGTCCCTTGTGGTTTTGTAAATACACCTGAGACTTTTTCCCATCGATCAGAATTTTCTGGACATTTTTCAATGATATAACCTGTAATGTCTCCATTACCATTATCTTTGGGTACTTTCCATTGAAGTGAAACCGTATCTTTTGTTGTTTCTGTTGCTTCTAATGGACCTTCAGGTATTCCTGGTCTATCTAATACAATAACATTAATATCACATTCATCTTCACCCGAATCATTTTTTAATTGAATCTTATATTTTCCTGTATCCGAACGTTTTGATATTGGTTTATGTAATTTAGCATGAGTATCATCATGTTCAAGTTGAGTACTATATATATAAATGAAAAGAACTTATGAAAAAGAGATTTAATTCTTTTTTTTAAACAAACTCTCGTGTAGCTTGTACAAGTTCACCATCTTTTATCCATGTAATTGTTGGAGTTGGTGATCCATCAATAGGCAAATCAATTGTTAATGGTTCGCCAGCTTTGACATGAATTTCTTTTCTACCAAGTCCACCAGTTAATGCACTAAGATCGAATGAAGGTTTTTCTAATAGATCGATAATAAATAACAGTTAAAATATTTTCAAATTATTGAATTATTTTACCTTTTTCTGGTTTAGCAAAAATACCATGTGACGCATCACTTGGTTCACCTGGACCAGCATCATTCACAGCTGATACACGATATTCATATTCTTTATTAGCTGTTACATTTTCATCGACAAAATTCGTTCCCTAGAAAAAAACAATTCACACATATATGCAGAAAAGAAAAGAATCGTTCTACTATGCAATTTATGCATATATATCATATATATAATCATGGCTATCTTTTCGATTTAGATTAACTCTGATTCCGAAACAATCACAAGAAAATCTTTCGCCTTTTACTAAAGATTTCTGTGTTTCGGAATATTACAATGAGTCTTATAGACTAATTTTTTTACTGCTCGCTTCATGCGGGCATTTAATTAAAACGAAATGAAAAAACAACAACAACAACTTACTTTATGATAATCGTTACGATTTATTTTTGTCCATTCTCTTTTCTTCGTTCCTTTCTCTCGTCGTTCGATAATATAACCTTTCACTGGATTACCACCATCATTTCTCGGTGGATTCCATTTAATTTCAATACGATTACGATCACGTGTAACACATTCCGGTACACTTGTTTGACCAGGTTCAGCTATGAAAATAAAATCATAATTTTTGTTCTAATGATATTAATCAAATATTTACTAAATGGATTTTTAACAAGAATAGCATTTTCAGTTATTAATGGTTCTGAAAGACCATTCGCATTTTCAGCCATAACACGGAATTCATATTCATGTCCTTCTTTTAATTTTGATATTGTTACTTGTGTACCATTAATAGGATCATTACAACGTACCCAATCACCCGTTTTTTTATCTCGTTTTTCAATAACATAATTTCTAGAAAAATAGAAATTCCAAAATTATTTAAAAAACAATATTTTCTTCGATTTATTACGTAATTTCTTTTCCACCAGTGTCTGTTGGTGGTAGCCATGAAAGTGTTACACTTGATTTTGTAACTTCTTTTATTGCTAATGGTCCACGTGGCATTGATGGTGGACCAAGAACGATAACATCACATTCAGCTGTGTCTGTTCCTGAACTATTAACTAAACGAATTATATATCGACCTGTATCAGATCGAACTGATTTAATAATATTTAATTTAGCTATTTTATCAGTTTGTGTCATTTGTATACGATCATCAGATATAAGTTCCTGAAAATCACAGAGGAAGAAGAAATAAATAAAACTATTCAATAAAAAAGAAAGGTAAACAATACAGTTGTTTCATGTAGCCAAGTCATGGTTGGAATTGGTTCAGCAGCATATGGAGCTTCTAAGGTAACTGGTTGACCTTGTTTCACAGTAACAGATTTTAAACTAACTTTGTTGATACGTGGTTTTACTAAATAGACAAGAGAGAATATTTATTGGAAAGAAATTAATAAAAGTAAATTTATACAGAAACGTGATTTAGCAAGAACAATATTTGATGGTTCACTAGGTTCTGATGAACCAGCTTTATTCATAGCAATAATACGAAATTCATATTCTTTGCCTTCAGATAAACCACCACAAGCACCTTTATTTCGTACAGCATCAATTTCAGCTCCCTTTTGCCATTGATCACGTCCTTTTTCTCTTCGTTCAATAATATATTTTTCAATTGGTGCGCCACCGTCATTTTTCTAATATATAAAATAAAAATTTCATTTTCTTATTCATTTTCAATTACCGGTGTTTCCCATTCAAGATCAACATGATCTCTATCCCAATCCGATATTTCTGGTTTACCAGGTGCACTTGGTTCATCAAATGGATTTTTTGCTAATGTTGCTCCACTAGTTTCTAATGGATCACTTTCACCTTCTTTATTAATAGCACGTACACGAAATAAATATTCTTTTCCCGATATTAATTTTGTTACACGTAATGATGTATTGTCACCATTAACTTCACCAGCTGGCGTCCAACCACCACGTCCAACATCTTGTTTTTCAACAATATATCTTTCAATTGAACATCCACCATTATCCAATGGAGGTTTCCAAGAAACTAAACATGTTTCTTTTGTCATGTCACTAACTTTCATTGGACCTTCTGGTTTACCAGGACGATCTTAATTATACAGGAAAAAAAATGAGACATGTTTGTAATTAAAATTTTGCTTACCAAGAACAGTAACATCAATGGGTATTTTAATTTCCCCTTTAGTATTTCTTAATGTTAATTCATATTTGCCTGTATCCGTTCGTTTTGATTTTTCACTAGAATAGAACAAAAATATTTATAACGAATAAATGAATAGTTTCTTTTTTTTTGTACATATTTAATTTGCATTTTTTTGGTTCGATTGATGTTTGACATAATGAGTAATCTTCTGGTGAAATTATTTTTCCATCTTTTGTCCAAATCATAGTTGGTGAAGGATAAGCATCATATGGAATTTCAAGATCAAGTGGTCGACCGGCTTTAACAGTCACTGATTTTGCAAATCGACTTGCATCAATTCGTGGTGGTTTTTCAGCTAAAACATCGTTTTTGTCAATTTAAAATTTATTGAGTTTTGATATACACCTACTTTCTTTTACAGTGATCTTACAACTGTCCTTTAGATCACCACATTGAAATGAAATATCTCCTGCATCTTTTAAATCTAAATTTTTAAATTTTAATCTAAATTTATTTCCTTCGTTAAGAATAGCCATACTAAAATCAAGACAATTATGTTGATTTTTCTATTTAGATTTTTTTGGAAATAATTACTTTTGATCTGGATATAGAATTTTTCCATCTCTTAACCATTTTCCTCTTGTATCTGATTTCGATAATACAACTTCTAATGTAATTTCATCACCTTCAATTGCATCAATATCTTTTAAACCTTTTTCAATACGAAGTGCAGCTAGACAACGAAAAGCAAAACATAATCAATTAATTTTCTAAGAAAAATCCTTACGTCGAACAGATACATCACAGGATGTTGTCATAACACCAGTTCGACATTCATATTTTCCTTTATCATTAATTGCATGTAAATTACGAATAATTAATTTACGAACTTTTCCATAGGATATTATTTCATATTTATCAGGATATAATTCCGGAAGAATTTTCTATTAAAGAACAAAAAATTATTTTTGTAAATTAAATTATTCAACTTACTTCACCAGCAAAATACCAATCACATTCAGCATCTTCATCTTGAACACTACATTCAAGTTCAATTTTATCTTTTTCATCAGCTTCTAATGTTCCAGGTAATTTTGTTTCAAAACGCCATTGTGGTTCTATTCATTAAATAAAATATATATATTGATATACATAAAATATTCCAGTAGTTACCTTCCACATAGAGATAACCAGTCGTTTTAATACCACGATCATCATCAATTTGACAAGTATATTCACCTATAATTCAATAATTATGAATTAAAAAAATGAAATTTATAAAATCAAACCTTCATCTGCTTTTGTTGTTTTCATAATTCGAAAAATACATCGTGTCATATCTTGATGATATTTCATACGTTTATCTTTTTCAAGCTAAATAAATTAAAATTCTTTCAGTTAAGTTTCCCACGAAATACTCTACTATTACCTCAATAAGAACTCCATCTTTATACCATTTAACAGGTGCATCTGGATCATTAACATGACATTCAAGTATAGTTGGTTTTGTTCGAAATACTTCCATTCTAGGTGGTAATTCTTTATAAAAATCATACAATGGTTTAGCAGCTAGAAAATTAAAATAAACACATCATTTTAGTTTTCTTTGCTATTAAAAAGAGAAAATAGTTACGTTGTACTTCAAGCCATGCAGATGTTTCAATATCATTAACACGACAGAAATATTTTCCTGAATCATCTGGATGTAATTTATAAATAGTTAATTTTTGTCTAAATAGAGATTAAAACAAAAACGATTTTATATACACGTAACGCTCGTCCGAAAACTCCCTTGTTTTTTTAACTTATGCGCCTCTCTTCATCCTCCCTCACTATGGCCACCCAACAGATCTCAAATTCGAGCTCCCCGCATGGAAATATCTCTAGAAATGTCTTCTTCAGAAAATAGGTTTTCGATGTTTTTTTGACCTTGCGGACATACAAGCAAGCAATCAGACAATTTATGTTTACTGGACTCTTCTCTACGAGAAAGAGAATATTTTAAATAAATTCATACTTAGCTCCACTTGAATCAAAATGATATTTTAAACCATGAAAAATTTCGACTTTATTCTTAAGCCTTAATGAGCAAAAAATAAATAAATTTTTTTCTATTTTATTAAAAAATAAATTTACCATCGTATTCGTGTACTTGGTTTACAAAACGTACATTGAAAAGTTATTTCACCATCTTCTTCTTTACATTTTATGTCACGTAATGGTTCGACAAATGATTCTTTTTCCTAATTATATAAATTGTTTTATATTCAAGATTTCTTCATGTACATGCTCATGCATATTTAGATTAATAAAATAATATCACACAGTCATGCATAGAATAAATCCACAATATTTCCATGTTGTATAAAATATAATTTTCACCTTTTCTGGTCGTTTAACTTTATTTAAAGCTGGCCAACCAGGTACAACTTCAGCTAATGATGGTCGTTTAGTTTTTGAATCTCGTCTAACTTTAAGTAAATTTTCTTGATCAACATGACGAAGTGATGGTCGTCGTTCTTCTATTGCACTTGAACGACGAGAACCAGGTGAATCATCATTAATACCCGTCTAAAATATTCTGTCCATTTTTCCTACAAATTCAAGATTTATATATTACCTCTTCTGGTTGATCGGTACGTATTTGAAGAGCTGGAAAAAAAACGAAGAGAAAATGAAGAATTTTTTTGTTTTGCTGAAATAATTTACTTGGTGGATTTTCACTGATAACATTAAGATTCGATGCTGAAGGACGTTTAGGTCGATCAGTTGTTTTAGCACGACGTGGTCCTGCTTCTTCATATAATGATTCTTCAGCTAGAATGATTCAATATTAAGTTGATAATATAACAAGTAACGCTCTTTCTCGTGAAAATGTAGCGTCTTCACATCTACTGGGAAAACAATTGAAAACCGTGAAAAATCCGTTTTCGATGTTTTTTTTACCTCTCCTCCTCCCCTTCATGTTGGTCATCCAGCTAATCGCAACTTCAAAGCTCGTGTATCGAAATACCTCACGAAATGTGTTTTCCGAAAAATTAGTCTTCGATGTTTTTTTGATCCTGCAGACACACAAGCAAACAATTTATTTCTGCTGGACTCTTCTCTACGAGAAAGAGAATAATACATTTATTTTACTTTGAATTTTAGGTACACGACGATCATTTTCATCGGAATTATTCTCAGTTGGAGTTGATATTGTTGGTATTGCTAAAAAAGGAAATTTCTTATAAATATAATCATTATTTTATCAATACCATTATCTTGAGCTTTTTTCTTTGCTTCTTCATCCTTTCTAAAACAAAGAAATAAAATAAAATCGAGTGTAATGAATTCTCATACGGTGGTGCTGCCTCAGTATCGATCATTAAATTAATTAATGCTTGAGAATCACCAGCATCATTTTTTGCTAAGATTTTATAAACACCATTATCAGTTGAAGTCGCATTCTATAAATTATCTGTAAAATTTGTCTTTTGAATATAATATTTAACTTACAAGAATCTCAAGAGTAAATGTGTATGTATCATCTGTTCCTTTTGTTTTACTAATTTTATATTTATTTAATTTATCTTTTATTTCAATTTTATCTTTTTTCCATATGATTTTCGGTTCTAATTTTCCTTTACAACGACATTCAATTTTAATTGTTTTTTGTTTTAAATCTTTTGTAATTTTTGGTTTTTCAAATGCTGGAGCTATTCGATCTAATTGTTCTAAATTCGCTTTATCACCTATTCAAAAACAAATAATAATAAATATTTTTGTTTGTTCAATTATCAAATAACATACCAGCAACTTTAAGAACAATATTAGCAACAGCTGTACCAATTTCATTCGATAATGTACATTTATAAATACCACTATCCGATGAAGTTAAATTCTATTAGAATAAGAAAATTAATTTTTGGAATACTAATCAATAAATCAAACCTTAATATCAAGAAAAATTGTATATTTATTTTCGCCTTTTTTTTCAATACGTGTAACATTTGATAATTCTTTTCCATCTTTACTCCAATGTAATGATGGATTAGGATCAGCAGTAATATCGATTTGAATAGTTGCATTTTTATTAGTTTGTTTGATCATTGGTTTACCAAGAAATGAGGGTGCAACACCATCGGGTAATCTAAATAATTATATATATTAAAGTTTATAAGAAAATTTATTTTTCACACACTTGAAATTAATTTCTCCAATATTTAATTCAATATTTGCTTGTCCATCACCTTTCGCATTTGTTGCTGTGACTTTATATATTCCCGAATCATTTTTTGTGATTTGAGATACTTCAAGAAATATTGTATGTGTAGTTCCTTCTGTTAACATTCCTTGCTTATATTTTGTTCCAATCGTTATAGGTTTTCCATCAAATGTCCATATAAAACTCGGTATTGGATCAGCTGTACAACGACATTCTAATAATACTGATTCTTCAAACATACGAATTTGTGGTGTTTGATTGAATATGGGTTTACCAGTAACATTTTGTTCTTGATCAAGATTTAAAACAATATTAGCATTGGTTTCTCCTAAATTATTTTTCGCTGAAACTTTATATTTGCCAGCATCTGATGTATTAACATCATCGATTTCAAGACATGCAAGATACGAATTATTTGGTAAAGTATCACAATAAATAAGATAACGACCAGAATCTTCTATTAGAATATCATCACGTGACCAAACTATATCTGGTTTCGGTTCAGCTGATATTTTACATTCAAATATTAAACGTTTTCCACCATTATCTTGTTTTATAATTGGTTTTTGAGTAAATACTGGTGTTGTACCATTAATTGAACTAAAAACAATTTTAGGAACGATTTAGAATTAAATTATAAATAAATTTACCTATTGACACCAGCTGTTGATTCAGTTTGATCATCTGTTGAAAGATTTAAATTAACATTAGCTGTAATTTCACCAGCTTTATTTTTAACAATAATTTTATATGTCCCAGAATCTGTCGCAGTAAGATTAGTAATCTCGAGTGTTACGTCATAATTATTTCCTGTTGAAAGTTTAATTGTTTGTTTATGTTTAGTTGATGTTGTTAAATTTTTAGTATCATTTTGAAACCATGTTATATCAGGCTTAGGTGTACCTTGGATTTGACATTCAAGAAAGAGACGTGTAGGATCATCGGGTATTTGTCGAATTGTTGGTGGTTTTAAAAGACGCGGTGCAACAGCCGCCATTCTGTCTTTTAATTTATGAAACCAATGATCTGTTAACTAATTATTAATCTAAAATTGACATAAATATGGATCATCGACGTTAATTATATATGAAGTATTTAAAAAAAAAAAAGTAATTATAAAAACGAGTATAAATAAATGGTCGATGACAAGCGAACGTCAAAGAGAGAAAGAGAAAAGCCACAGTACTATTGTATAAAGAAGAAGAAAATATGTTTATTTCTATGTTAACGTTTTAGCCGGTGTTGATCATTTAGTATCAACACAAGAAACATCCGTACAAATATGAAAGTAGAAGGGCAAAGAAGAATGGAAAATGATGACGAAAGTTCCTTTCTTCTTCTTTTTTTCTTGTACATGATAAGTGTTATATTCTAATGTAGTACTTTTTCTCTCATTCGTTTTTCTATAAAGAATAGAAGAATATGTTCTAAAAGGCTACAATGGGTAATGAAGAACTTGTATGTTATTTATTGATTGACTACAATGTGAAAGATACTTTCTTAAAAATCTAGAGAATAATGATAGCAAGATAACTGACAAGATAAAAGCAAATAACTTGGTAATAGACTGATTTCATGACTAACAATAAGAAAGTCGAAGATATAAAAGTATATTGTAATTATATGACATCAACAGGAAATGAAGCAAATGTATTACGATAAGCTGTGCAATTTGATCGACACCACGATGACAATGATGGAGAAAGAAGAATACTAATCGTCCGTGGACGTCTATAAACATAAATAATAAAAAGCTTAATCGTACTAATAATAACCAATATAGACATTATTCATTTGAAAATATATAATTAAAAAGTTCACTTCTCTCAATGAATTAATATAGTAAACTTTATATCCACATATGAATCCATTTTAGTTATATATACATGTCTATTAACAAACCTTGAAGAAATAAAGATTGTTAGGCTAATATAAAAACTTTCTTCGAGTACAATGAAAGCTCCATTTATTTTCTTGCGTACAAAAAAAAAACGAGATCTATATATAGTGATAAAAGCAAAACATATACAGACACATACGCCATCATACAGCGAGTGTTTTCTCGCTTCACATATACTATCAATGTGGGTGTCTGCAACTGATGCGGATAATCATACTAGTGCAAACATAAGAAGGTTGCGCATTAACGTTGTCTTCATCAATAGAGTAGTACTGTCGGTAGCATGATGATGACGATGCGATAATATTTGCAATAGATAGGAGATGTTCTTATAAGAAGATTTATAAGACAAGAAAAATAATAATAAACAATAGTTTCACATGAAGTACCCTGTGGATGTTATCTATTGTAAAACTGAGACAAAACTGACAATCATGTTAGAAAAACAAAAGGATTTTTTCTTGACAAGAGTAAAGTTCAAAGTTATTCCAATCATATGTATTATTATTATTATTATTATTATTATTATTATTATTATTATTAAAATTGTAACTTTCGATTTTCTTTTTGTATGATATAAAAATACACATCCCAACATTTTATATCACCCTATGATCTGTACAATGTTTTTTTTTAGCACTAACAGATATTGATACTATTATCTAATGACCTTCTGGAGTTAATCTTCGAGTTTTCTTTTTCTTTTGACTACTAATAAACTACACACATATATTGTATGTACATTGATAGTCGTACATATATATATTGAGTAATCGATCACCCACACTCAAGTATATCGTATAAAAACAACAATAACAATCATGATTGTTATCAATTCCTGTTTCTTCTTCTTCTTCACTTTATTTCATAATATCTATTACATCGAGAAAAAATTTGAATAATTAATGAATGAATTTTAAAATCAAATTCATAAATATAATAAAATATACATAATGGTATACAAATAATTGTAAAGAAAAATGGAAAAATCAAAATCAAAATAATATTATAATTATTTTTACTAAATCTATAATTAATTGATCGTGTAATAATATTACTCTTATTTGTATAATTATTATATATACAAGAATTAGTAAAACAATAATTGTATTGACTTGAAAATGAGTCTATTAGACATTGTCGATTTCGTTTACAAGAACGAGTACGTATCCTACGACCTAGAATTTAAAAAAAAAATTTGATAATATCAATCTTTATATAATCTGACATAAAGATAATTGTTATGATAAATGATATATTAATGTATGATAAGATTTCACTAAAATTTATCTTACCCATACCACAAGTCACCGAACATACACTCCATTCAGACCATTGTTGCCAATTATTATTTTCGCGACATATTTGTGAATCAATGAAACAATCGATTAAATAATCTAATCTTTCCTGTAAATCATCATCATTAATATGATTTGTATACGATCGAAATATTCTATAATCTTTACATTTCTCAAGTTCTAGATTACATCGATGTATCAATGCTTGTTTTATTATTGGATATCGCCATAGAACTTGTAAGATTAATTCAAAATAATATTGATCTTGATTATTATATACATATCCGTTTACAATCAAAAGCAATTCAACAAGTATAAATGAATATTGCATGATTTCATTTTAAAGGTAAGAAGAAATAAAAACGCGCCTTATGATAATTTTTCTTTTATTTTTCTTGTAAAAAACAAACAAGAATTGACAATAACACGCACAATACAAATTATATATATATATATTAATAATACACTTCAATAAAATACCAAGGTTAAGAAGTGTACATATACATTAAAAGCTCGTTTATCAGTCTAACCGACAAAGAATAAAAAACAAATAAGACTAGATTAAATATCAAGACAACATAATTTTTTTGATTTTTAAATACAAGTCAATGTAAAATATCTGAATACTATAATGTCATTAATTAGTGAAAAACAAAACAAATACACTAACTCTAATAAGATAAAATACAGACAAAAGTCGAAAAAGAAATCACCACAGTACAAAAGCGCACAAACATATAGCGAAAGATTATTGAAAAAAGTGACTATATTATATTCTTGTCAACATGGACATAGAACATTGAGAATGTATTTGGTTAATAATTCTGGAACCTGAGCACTATCTTCATTAATTGCATGAAGAACTATTAAACAAAAAATAAATAATAAAAATAAAATAACCCTCCCCCTCCCATAATAAAAGGCCCAGGGTTTTGTATTATGATTCCGGAACTTCCACTTTTTTTTTGTGGAAAAATCCCCCTAGGGCGTTTTGTTTCCGATCGGTTTATCATATACTTACTTTTATTTAAACTTTGTAAATTATCAACGGATAAATATGTTGAGTGCTCACGATCATATGGTATCACCGTTGTTAAATACTGAAAAAAAAAATCAATCAGTGATTAATCAATATATTTGAAAACCCCGTATATATTAAAAGCATTAAAAAAAGTGATAAGCATGTGAAAAACAACATGTATGGATTAATATATATATGGTATATGTGAATATTTTTGATAACTGTTGTGTAGAATCTACCTGAGCCTTTTGAAATAGATCATGCCAACTAGTCGAAAAAACGTCGAATACTGATTGACTACGACGTAATAAGATCTAAACCAAATTTAATTTTGTCATGAAACTCGAAGCTATTTATTATTGATAATCCTTCTTTTTTCTTTTTATCAAGCTTTAAAAATTGAATAATCACCTGAGATAATATTTGAAAGATTTATTTCATCTTATGACAATGATAAAGAATATCTCATAAACTATTCAAGTATTTGTGGATTATTGATATGAGCCTATCAATCATCCAGGTGCATGAAAACAGAATAACAATATACAAAAAATTCTTTTCATTATTGTTTTTAGAACTTTGTTGTTCGTTTCTCAAGGTCAGATATTTAATATCACACTTATTCGAGAATATATTTGATGAAATATTAGTTAAGTGATTCATATTATATATCATTTAGCATAGAATTTGAAATAGAAATCATTT